TTGGATTTTCTATAAAAGCGTATTTTTTTAGTTTTTTTAAACTATTATTTATTTTTCATTTTTTAATTGAATTTCAATTTTTTTCTTATTTTTTTTTTAAATATTGGATTGTCATCGGTCCTTAATAAGTATACCAAATTTCGAGTTAATCCGACGTTTTGAAGGGGGTCAAAATCATGTTCAAAGATTCCGTTACAAACATATATACGTCTGAAGCTAATAAAAGCGTATTAAAAGTAATGTAATAAGTAATGTCAGTGATTTATTGATTTGTTCGTTTTATTAGCATTCCCACGTCTTTTATTTCGTATTACGCGTGAGCGAGCGGTCGGTTCGTTCGTTTGTCGTCTATTAAGGTATTAAATTGTAAAACCTTATATTTTTCCCTTTTTTCCTGTCGTTTTCTTCAGTTGAACGATCGTCTTCATTCATTTGTCTTGAAATAGCACACTATCAAGTCTGCGTCTTAGTATATGTCTGGTTATTGTGGGTCGTATGTCCTGTCAGAGGCTACACGCCATGGCAACGCGATTTTTTCCTGTTGGTAGGACCTCTTGTGAGTCCGCACGGGTAAGTACCACCACCCTGCCTATTTCTGCCGTGAAGCAGTAGTGTTTCGGTTTGAAGGGCGGGGCAGCCGTTGTAACTATACTGAGACCTTAGAACTCATATTTCAAGGTGTCTGGCGGTATTTACATTGTAAATGTCTATGGGCTCCAGTAACCTATCTAAGTAATAATAATATATATATATATATATAGCTTTTGTGAGCACTAGGAATGTTTCTTAGTAAAATCAATGTACGTCAGGTGGCGTGCGTAAATTTAACAAATGCGCGGATTTCATATAACGCGATAGCAACAAGCCACGACGAGCTTCAATCGTCAATAACAATTTTATTATTTTCTTCAGTGCGTTTTCGTGAGTCATAGACCAAAATTAAAACCACTTTTACGGTTTAATTTCAAAAAACAGCGTTCACTATTATGTAAAGTATTCGACACGTCATACGAAAATAATGAAATGAATGTAATAAGCGCGGGATTAAGCCGTCAAAGTAATCCTGATAATAACACATTTTTTTATATATATAGAATGCATCAGAATAGAACCACATGTATTTTTTTTTTTTAACTGATATTTGAACAGAGCTGTTATTGTGTACTAGTTAGTCGCTTACATTAAAACAAAAGCTCATTATACTTCAGAATTTACAAATAGTTATTAGTCACAGTTTTGTTTTCAACTACTATACCTAATTTCAAAAGTATTCGCTAGCTCAAAATATTTTAGAGAATTCTTAAGCGGGGCCGTTCACACGTTATGTCACGCTGTGCCTTAGACAATACATTGAAAAAATCACGATTATGACGTTGACCTTCGAAGGTGAAGATATACATATTAAGTGTTTAAACAAATATGTTGGAATGTCTTTAGATTTTCTTTTTTTTATTTTTTTTATTGCTTAGATCGGTGGACGAGCTCACAGCCCACCTGGTGTTAATAAAAAAATATTGTACGTATAAACGGGCACAAAATTTTATTTTTAGAATAACTTTGAGTGAACATTCTCAAATGGTTGGTGTTAAGTGGTTACTGGAGCCCATAGACATCTACAACGTAAATGCGCCACCCACCTTGAGATATAAGTTCTAAGGTCTCAGTATGACGACGGCTGCCCCGCCCTTCAAATCGAAAAGCATTGCTGCGTTAGGTTTATTTATTTATTGGAGTTTATTCGTTATGAATTTAAAACCGATACAAAATTTTGACGGATAGTACAAAATACGAGCGTTTACAAAAATGATTATTTTCAATTCGAATTATTATATTCTATAATAGACTTTATTAAACCTCTCCCGCATAAGCTCTTGCTGCTTGAGGCTGGAATCACTTCACCCATTAAACATTACAAACGCTTTCTTATTAAGTGACCATTATTACGACCTAAGCCGGTATTGTTTCAATATATTTATTCCCTTAAAAGCCTTTAGTTCTTGAAATTGATGTTTAAGTTGTTTTGATTTTGCTTTTACCTCATTCTTATTTACAAAACAATAACAAACAGTAATTATTGTGTGATTGTTTCGCCTTTCAGTAGCGCGTTCATTGTTAAATATTTTGTTGTAGACGAATCTGAAAACACATTCACCTATTTTCTTATAAAAATGCTCGCAAATTTATCTATCAAACATTATCATGCCCGCTTCCCATCAATGTCAACATTACAGATGATAATCAGATGTTACATTAAATCTATTCGTGTCACATAACCTTGTTTTCGTTAGAATAAAAATTGTAGCCGCGTCCGTAGCCTAAAGAGTGTAAGACGGCAGTTGTCCTCGTATCGATTGATGCGACTGTGATGGGTTTTTTTTTTCGTCCTACCTTTGCTAATAGCCTTTTAGGCAATTTCAGCTTCGCCCTAACGTTTGTAGGTGAGCTCACGGGGCTTAAACCGGAGAGTTGCTAACACTGACCCTAGCAAGAGCAGTGCTTCGCAGAATCTACCACCGGATCGGAAACGCGACCCACTGAGAAGATCCAGCGAGAAACTCAGTGGGCTTCCGACGCTTTTATAAACATTTTTTTTGTTTGTAAAAACTTATATAAATAAAATCATCTGTTCGTGAATGACTTTCACAACGGAATGACCATAGATAATAAATACACTTAATATTTAAAAGAAAATGCGTCGCACAATAAAAACCATAGACAGAAAAATTATAAATAAAAATAAAATTACTAGTAATAGAACAACCTCTTTATAATACTTGCTCATTATTGATATTTCGACCTCATTTGTCAAGGTGGGTCTAAAGGTTGTGGTAACTATCTAATATCGGATTAATCACAAGTTTGTTTGCCCGTTTAGAGCAAAAATAAGAATTCTTTATTTAAAACTTACGACATATAATTTAATGGTACACCTGGTGCGTAGTGCATGTAAGATATTTCTAACCATCAGGTTTTAAATTTCATATATTTATTATCTTTTATGTATTGCGGAAANCTGATCGCGCGTTTCTCTCATTATTGTATTTTCATATATTTGTTAGTCGTTTGTTTTGTGTCTCGTTAATTTGTTAATAATCTGTAGTGTATCGTGTTGTCGTAATATAGAACTATTTCTCGTATTGTTTCGTTTAATTTTTTATATCCAGTAAACTCCAGTCGTGCGTCGGAGCGGACACACACACTTTTTTTTTTAGAATAACTTTGAGTGAACATTCTCAAATGGTTGGTGTTAAGTGGTTACTCGAGCCCATAGACATCTACAACGTAAATGCGCCACCCACCTTGAGATATAAGTTCTAAGGTCTCAGTATGACGACGGCTGCCCCACCCTTCAAACCGAAAAGCATTGCTGCGTTAGTTTTATTTATTTATTGGAGTTTATTCCTTATGAATTTAAAACCGATACAAAATTTTGACGGATAGTACAAAATACGAGCGTTTACAAAAATGATTATTTTCAAATCGAATTATTATATTCTATAATAGACTTTATTAAACCTCTCCCGCATAAGCTCTTGCTGCTTGAAGCTGGAATCACTTCACCCATTAAACATTACAAACGCTTTCTTATTAAATGGCCATTATTACGACCTAAGCCGGTATTGTTTCAATATATTTATTCCCTTAAAAGCCTTTAGTTCTTGAAATTGATGTTTGAGTTGTTTTGATTTTGCTTTTACCTTATTCTTATTTACAAAACAACAACAAACAGTAATTATTGTGTAATTGTTTCGCCTTTCAGTAGCGCGTTCATTGTTAAATGTTTTGTTGTAGACGAATCTGAAAACACATTCACCTATTTTCTTATAAAAACGCTCGCAAATTTAGCCATCAAACATTATCATGTCCCATCAATGTCAACATTACAGATGATAATCAGATGTTACATTAAATCTATTCTTGTCACATAACCTTGTTCTCGTTAGAATAAAAATTGTGGCCGCGTCCGTAGCCTTTTTTTTTTCTTCCTACCTATGCCGACAGTCTTGAGAGGCTATTTCAGCTTCGCTCTAACGTTTGTAGGTGAGCTCGCGGGGCTCAACCGGAGAGTTGCTAACACTGACCCTAGCAAGAGCAGTGCTTCGCAGAATTTACCACCGGATCGGAAACGCGACCCACTGAGAAGATCCGGCGAGAAACTCAGTGGGCTTCTGACGCTTTTATAAACATTTTTTTTGTTTGTAAAAACTTATATAAATAAATACATCTGTTCGTGAATGACTTTCACAACGGAATGACCATATATAATAAATACACTTAATATTTAAAATAAAATGCATCGCACAATAAAAACCATAGACAGAAAAATTATAAATAAAAATAAAATTACTAGTAATAGAACAACCTCTTTATAATACTTGCTCATTATTGATATTTCGACCTCATTTGTCAAGGTGGGTCTAAAGGTTGTGGTAACTATCTAATATCGGATTAATCACAAGTTTATTTGCCCGTTTAGAGCAAAAATAAGAATTCTTTATTTAAAACTTGCGACTTATAATTTAATGGTACACCTGGTGCGTAGTGCATGTAAGAGATTTCTCACAGTACATTGTTAGTAATCTAACGATCAGGTTTTAAATTTCATATATTTATTATCTTTTATGTATTACGGAAATCCATAGGCAACATTGTTCGCTATTTTTACTGGTGGTAGGACCTCTTGGGAGTCCGCGCGGGTAGGTACCACCACCCTGCCTATTTCTGCCGTAAAGCAGTAATGCGTTTCGGTTTGAAGGGTGGGGCAGCCGTTGTAACTATACTGAGACCTTTTATCTCGAGGTGGGTGGCGCATTTACGTTTTAGATGTCTGTGGGCGCCAGTAACCACTTAACGCCAGGCGGGCTGTTAGCTTTTCCAACCATATAAGCAATAAAAAATTTAAAATATATTTTTTCTATATCTCCTGACAGCGATACTTTTTTATAATTTCTAAAACCAAATTGATAACACAGGTTCAATAACCTTTTATTTGTCAACAGCAACAGCAGCAATGGTTCCCGAGAATACGAACAGTCAGCCCAGGCAGAGACAAGTGGTCTTGCAACCGACGTGGAACCGAGGACGCCTGCGCCACCGGCCGATAAGTTTGACGACTTACAACAAATCCTGTTCGCTCAGCTACAGGGGTCCTCCTTCGATAATGCAGTGGTCATACCTCCGCACCGAGACCTGAATGTTTTGAGGCCCGAGAATCCGACTATTGGGGAGATGGAGGATTTAGAACTTAGGTGAGTTTAGAAAGATGGAAAGTAGCTTTAGTGTCTAGACAAATTCGAAAACCTGAATCGTATAGATAATTGGGGGAATATTTTCAAGTTTACAAATTCAGAACAACAACATGAAAATCGTCGGTCTACTGAGGTAAATAATCCTGTTCGGTACAGTTGTTTCCTTTGAGATTAGGATGAGATCTCCATCTCTTTCTAATTTGCATTAGGTAGAGAAGTTAAGGGCTATAGGTCTAATAATTAGTGTAAGATATTAGTTTTTGCAAAACTTTTTTTAACATATAGACAATATAAATGTTCAATAACAACAGATGGAGCTTCTAAAGAAGAACAAGTAAAATGTGGTTACAAAAGTATTTATAATTGAACTTAAGCAACAGGTACAATAATAGGCGATCTAAACATATCAGTCACAACTACATTTATCACCCTAGCACACTAGGGAACTTAGTTAACTTAACTAAACAAATATTTAATGTTGTTATTCAATTAAAATCAGCGCTAAAAGCTTTACTTTATAAAGCAAAAAATAAACTTTTAAATGTTTGGAATATCAAAAGAAATTATTCACAGCGAAATTAAACTTACGAAAATTTTGCTTAATTTCTGTAAGGATAAATGTGTAATACGGTTAATAAAATGAAAACGTGAAGCTTGACACGGAAATATTAATTTAATCAACTTGAAAGAAGGCAATTTATACGAGGTGCGATGTTAAGCAAAAACAAAAGTGAACAGCAGCCCAGTTAAGAAATATTAATTAAAATGTTCCGCGATAAACGGCTCGGGGAGGAAGGACATTACTAGGAGAACTCTCTAAGTTGGCGACAGCTGACATCCAAAAGTACGATTTATGTAGCCACTCGACTTGCCAAATTAAATTATTAGCTGTTTCTGCACTGCAATTACGCTTCATATCAGCAATAATACTGTTAAATGACTATCCGAAGTTTCACGTAGCCCAATTCATTTCTCATGCCCTATGAAATATCCGAAACATAACTTTAGCGCACAAACGTTAAAGAAAATTATTTTCATGCACAACGAACACCGTAAAACACTAAAGTATGCATCAAAATCAAACAAGCAGGTCGTCGACGGCCTCCGGTCCTCGTCGTAATTTCTCTAAACCAAATATTAGACGGAATCTCTCAGGAACGCGTTGAAAGCTACGAAAGAATAACACATTTTACGCGCGTGCCCCTGTACGCTATCAACGACATTTCTGATACAAAACCATAAAAAAAAGGATCATATCATACGAGACAGGATGATTCTATAATACGAAATATGCAACCTTTCTTTATCTCGCAGAGAGGCAAATTTCACAAGGCCTACATGGAATCTTATTTAAAATCCAGTTACGGGCTCCGGCGAGATAGGCACGGGTCTTCGACAATAAAACTAAATGGAATGAATGCGTGATGGCTTCCTTAAGCGGTGCTCCCGATACAACAGGACCGCCTGGCTGTTTCGTGTATCATCGTGTATAAGAAGGGTTTTAACAACATGGAAAATTTTCCACAATCCCTTTTGAACGGTGTAATTTGTGTAAGATGGATATTCATTGTTTAAGATCGTAAACACGTTTTTGTCCGAAGTTGTTGTAGCGTTCGTTTGTGACTGATTTCATTATCTTGATACCGTGAGGTTCGTGGTAAAAAGAGTCTATAAATTTTAACGTGAGTTGCGGTTTGATTTTCGAATGCAGGTTATCGGAGCATGCCACAAATCGGGAATGTTACACGTACGCTCTTTAGTATTCAGTGCCGGCCTGCGCGGTGTCGCCTGGAGTCTCGCACCTACCGGCGGTATCCAAATCACGTCCACTTATGTGTTCCACGCAGCCAAAACCAACAAGCCGCCATCGGAAAATCTTTCATGTAAATCTTGACGCTAACGACTGGGCTTAGGAGTGTGTGCAAAGTAAAAAAAATATATTGAGANAATGTTACACGTACGCTCTTTAGTATTCAGTGCCGGCCTGCGCGGTGTCGCCTGGAGTCTCGCACCTACCGGCGGTATCCAAATCACGTCCACTTATGTGTTCCACGCAGCCAAAACCAACAAGCCGCCATCGGAAAATCTTTCATGTAAATCTTGACGCTAACGACTGGGCTTAGGAGTGTGTGCAAAGTAAAAAAAATATATTGAGAAGCCTTCGCTATTTAACATTATTATTTATTACGAAATTGTAGGTTATATTTTAGTATGCTTTTAATAAATCGATCTGTGTTTATATAAACGGTATCTTTCAACGGAATTTTCGTTAACGTCAAAACTCCCGATTGACTCGTATTAACGCGATGCACGCGTGTACCTACAGTGCTGATTCAGATGGTAATACAATAATTTTATTATTTTTTTACCTAATAGAAACTACCAAACAAAGATAACCAAGATTTAAACAAATTAATTTTAGAATTTTTGCCCGTGTAACAGTTTCGATCGATTACTACAAACGAAAAAGAAAAATCTTCTCAAGTTTTTTTTTGCGGCGATCGTCTCGTCTTCGCGTTAACCCGACAGCCTTTTAATAACTCTAAAAATATAGATCTAGATAATCTTTGGTTGTTTAATTCAACATATAATATCTGTTTACATTTTAATCAATTGAAATTTAATGGCGCGACGACGTCACCATTCTTCAGCAACATTAGAACGAAAATATCACATTTGAATCTAATTTCAATAGCATAAGCTCAATTTGTGATTATGAAATTATATGCAACTGAGATATCGGTATCAGAATTCAAAGCTGCTGTTACTAATATTCTAGGCTAGACAGAAACCGCGTAAAAAAAACTGGTTCGCAGAGACTATTGTCATGTGAGATATTCTAGTTGATTCTTTTTGAATTACAAATAATCGCGTCGGATGAAATAATTTGCGATTATAGTTCTGTAAATAGAAACGAGCTCCTTTGGCAGCTTATAATCACTTCGTTTCCTTCACAAAGCCATTAAAAATATTAATTCCTCAACAAGTACTTAAGTATCTTTTTTAATTAAACAAAATAATTGCGCATCTCACCAACTACATATAATATTAAATATTTTATTAGAAGTTCCATATTTTATTAGAGATTCCTTTATTAACTTTAAATCTCAATTATAGTTGACAAGCATGATTACTAGAGACAAGGCAATACAAAGCAACAAGAATACGGTCACTTTGACAGATAAGGTCGAAATATTAATTCCTTAACAAGTACTTAAGTACATTTTTTTAATTAAATAAAAAAATTGCGCATCTCACCAACTACATATAATATTAAATATTTTATTAGAAGTTCCATATTTTATTAGAGATTCCTTTATTAACTTTAAATCTCAATTATAGTTGACAAGCATGATTACTAAAGACAAGGCAACGCAAAGCAACAAGAATACGGTCACTTTGACAGATAAGGTCGAGATTTTAATTTTAGGGTGTGAACTAGCCCATAGACACAACGCACTGAGTTTCTCGCCAGATCCCCTCAGTGGGTCGGAATTCTGATCCGGTAATAGATTCAGCGAAGCACTGCTCTTGCTAGGACTAGTGTTAGCAATTCTCTCAGGTTAAGCCCGTGGACTCACCTACGGATCCGCGTGAAGTTGGAATAGCCCCTTAGGCTACCAACGATTAAGTAGGGGAATTTTTTTTTACCGGAAACCGGAATCCTTGATCGCTTCGGTTCTGGATGTTGGTACCTTACCATACTGGCTTTTAATGCCAATACAAAAATACATGAAGGTTCTTTGTTACAGTGTCAACGCATCTAATCTCGAGAAGTTTCAGCTGAAAATCGCCCAGCATGAACTATACGAGGATGGAGAGATTTTGGTCGAAGCTATTTTAAAAGATATGGCCACGTTACCCGTGTTACACGCAGGTACGTTGTATCAAATTATTTATTTAATCCATATTTTATAAATTACTAATATTATAAAGCTGAAGAGTTTTTTGTTTGTTTGGTTAAATGCGCTAATCGCAGGAACTATTGGTCCGATTTGAAAAATTCTTTCAGTGCTAGATAGTTCATTTAAGGAGGAAGGCTATATAACAGCACGCTAAGACTAATACGAGCGGAGGACTAATAATTTATTTTTCAAAATCGTTTTTTTTTTCCTTTTGAGAGCTTCCGCTGCGTGCGCTGCGAAAACGGTTAAAGTTTCGCTAAAATAATGTATGACGAAATTGTTCCCACTTAAAAGTTATAAAAAAAAGTTACGACAGCCTACGTCTATGGTCTATGGTCTATGGTGTATATTTAAGGTTGGCTATATATAACCTTTTATGCTAACCGAATTTGTTCTAAAATAAAACATTTTTTGGGAAGGTGTCAATATAAAGATGATATGCATCCTTATCCAAGTAAATACGTTATTAATTAAAAGTATTTAATTTAAAGGAATTTGCCCTTACATCGTTTGATTTCAATAAGTATCTTTGAAGATATCGCAGTTTTAAAATAGCATCGCAGCAAAATAAGGATTAAAAACAAAAAAAAAACGACTTCAATTATTAATCTTCATTATCATTATCATTATCAATACAACTGACACTGTTATCACAAAGAAAATCCGTGTGATTACAAGAAACACCCAAATCACTTCAAGATAGACTGAAAATTGTAGATTTTTCTTGATTTCTCCAGGATCCCATCATCAGATCCTGATCCTAATAATTACAGGACCATTGGGGAAGACTACCCTTTCGAACAAAAAAAAGAATTATCAGGAAAAAAACGGTGGTCGAATTGATAACCTCCTCTTTTAATGTCGGTTAAAAATCGTGATTTTGGTACCTTAAATAGCTCCTTAAGTTTCTATTATTCAAAAATATTTTCACCTTCCACGTAAATGAAGTCGCGGGTACAATTTAGCGTTATGACCAAGTAACTATTCCACGCGGACGAAGTTGCGGGCAAAAACTAGTCCATTATATAAATTGATAATTATAAATTAATTCATATGAATTAATCTATATTTTGTCTTCGGTATTTTCTTTACAATAGAACTAGAGTTGAACAGAGCGAAGAAACACTTCGTTATTACTATAGTATATTTGATAAATGTTAACAAGATACATACTTTTTATTGAAAGAAGTAGCCAAAATAAGCTACTCATACCTACAACGGTGGTCATATAATTAGAAACACTTCTTATGAATAAAGAAAGTATAACTTCAACGTACAAATGTTCGTAAAAAATATACATATTCAATAATTAATAATCATGCAATAGTATAGCCACTCATATAAAATACTCATTAAATGCATAAACATATCTTAATTTTAATTACAAAATGAGTCTTACACATGTAGGAGTTTATTTTCTGTTACTGGCCGCTTGGACGCCTAAATAGAAACATTTTAAAAAAGCATCCTTAGCTCGTTCTTTTTTTGAAATTGGATAATAACATTTATTTCTTGGCTTTTTCTATTATTTTTGCGGCAATTCAAAATTAAATCTGAATTTTATTTTGTTCAATATTGGCATAAATAAAAGCTGTGACGCGTCAACTAGGCAAATAATTGTTCATTTACATATAGATCATAATAATATGTGGGCGTACAGAAAAATGGCTTAAATTGTTCTGTTAAGAACGTTTTCAATGCAATTGATCATTATAAAACACATGGAACTGTTGAAAATGTTCTTAAAAAGGCTCGACCAAGAAAAACCTCTCACAGGGAAGATACGTAAATCGTTCGTGTTGCTAAAAAAATACCCAATTAAAGGCTACAACCAGATTAAAAATAATTTTTTTTCGCCTGATGACCCGAGAAACATCTCGACAAGAGTGATACGCCTAAGATTAGTGGAAACTAAATTGTTTGGAAGAACCTCTCGAAAGGTACCGCTTCTTACCAAGCGACACGCAGAGAAGCGATTATTATTCGCTAAAAAATATATTAATTGGACGGTACGAGAATGGAAAATAGTGTTATTTTGAGATGAAACGAAAATAAATATGGTAAATTCCGATGGAAAGCGCTGTGTCAGACATCCTGTAAACAATCCTTTTTAATTATAAATACACAAGGAGCATAGTAGCACGCACGGTGGCGGTAACATTAAAATTTGAGGGTGTTTTTCCGGATCTGGAGTTTGACCCGTTCGGAAGATTGAAGGTACAATGGATCAATGGCAATACAAAAATATCTTAGAGCACAATGATTCCCTACTCGGACGATCATTTCCCTGTAACCTGGATCTTTCAGTATGACAATGACCCTAAACACACGGCCAATAGCGTCAAATGTTCTCATTCGCATCTAGCGATGCTACGGTGTTCGAATCCCGCAGGCGGGTACCAATTTTTCTCATGAAATACGTACATATGAAATGTTCACGATTGACTCCCACGGTGAAGGAATAACATTGTGTAATAAAATGCAGTAAAATACAGTATTAAAAATACAGTAATGATAGATAATAAATTGGTATATAAAACACGTCCTTACGGATCCATCAGATCCAATAACCTTTGCATTAGACGCCTTCAGCTCTAACATTAGGAGCAGGCTTAGGAACTCCGGTAACCGTACTCGTCGAACTCGACAAAGACGTCGTGCAACCTAACCCATGCATCAGCCCGCTGAGTTTCTCGCCGGATCTTCTCAGCGGGTCGCGATTCCGATCCGGTAGTAGGTAGATTCATTCGCGAAGCAGTTGCTCTTGAGTTGTTAGGTCTCCTTCGGAGGCGCTCGGGCAGTTGTTAGCAAGTCCCACCCCTCCTGGCTGAGTCTTTGCTCGCCTACCTGTCCTGGTGAAACTGTAATCTTTCAATCATAAAAAAATGGTATAAAAAATATCAGCTTAAATGTCAGTAGACGAAATTCACGGCACGTTTGGTGTTTGTTTTTCCTTTTACAATAATCGAAGATAGACGTGCGGTTTACGGCGCGGTCCTTATTAAATTGGTAATAAGGTTGTAGATTCCACTTCGTCACAGTACACTTTGTATTATGATTTCTATGTCCGACTGAATTTAGTTGATCCTTTAAGCTGGAAATAAGCAGGACTCGTTATCGCCAAAAACATATGCTACTTACAGAGCGCGAAAGTTGAAACAGGCTTATTAAAATGAATTTATTTTTATTGAGCTTGCTACGAATATATAAATTCTTCGGAATTAGTCGGACACTCTTGCCAGAGTGGTTGTCGTTGCACTGACGATGTCAGTGTAGATGCATTCGTTAGGTCTTTAATGTTGTTGATTGCCTTCCTGGCGATCCGATTGCCAATTGAATTATCGATGGTTTTATTTGTATTAAGAAAAAAACGGTAGTTTCAATTCTAATTAACTTTTTCCTTTTTTTTTTAATCCTACCTATTCTGATAGCTTTGAGAGGCTATTTTAGCTTCGCCCTAACATGTAAGTGAGCTCACAGGGCTCAAACCGGTGTGTTGCTAACACTGGCCCTAGCAAGAGCAGTGCTTCCCAGAATCTACCACCGGAACGGAAATGCGACCCACTGAGAAGATCCGGCGAGAAACTCAGTGGGCTGTGTCTGTGGGTTAATTCGCTCGTCGAGCCCTTTGTCGCAAGCGACGTGTTCGACGAGGACGGTGATCGGTTTTTTTCGTAAAAATGTTTTACCACTATCGAGACTGTACTACAGTATTATTTTTAAATTTGCAGTCATTTCAAATTTATTTAACAAATTAAGCACTTATTTTCTGAATGCTGCTATAATTGCCCGCGATTTAACGAGATTAACATCTATTAAGCAAGTTGACTCGTTTAACAGAATTTGAATTGATTAATGACTCTATTTAAACGAAGCTAAACGTTGTGAAATTCAATACGATACATTGTTTTTTATCAGAGTAGACAGGTAAATCAACTAATTGTTTTTGAAGAAATATTTGGTGGATCACAAATCTATACTAATATATAAATCTACAGTGGTTTTTACGGATGTTCCGTTATAACTACTGAAACATGCATCCGATTGACTTGAAACTTGGTATCCATGTAGAAAAAAATGTACTAAATGGATTGGCTAATATTTATAGTATATAACTCCCTATAATAATGACAATAAATAATAATGTTAATTTTAAATGCCCAGCGAAGCGGGCGAGTACGGCTAGTTACATAATAATATAAATAAGAACATTTTAATTTGAAATGTAGAGAAAAGAGTGTGTACCGAATATAAAAAAATTTAATACAAAGAAAGACGAAAAATAAGCCGGTACATTGAAGAAGAACGACCGTTTTCTATTTTCTTGATATCGTAAAATAAAATAAACGAAATAATAAAAGTGAAATGTAACGTAAAATTCTAAACTATAAAGCCCGAAATCAATTTCAGTATTTCCAGTCGGCACACAAAACTACTTGGTCTTTGTTTAAATATGTAGAGTTATAAAATATTCAGTATGGTGGTGATCGGACTTAGGAAACCAATTACTAGTAGACGACCTTTCGACGCCCACTAAATTCGAACGGACATTCGTTGCCTATTCATTTTAAATTGATTGTCGAAACAATTATTATCGCTTCATTATACGCAATATTATATAATCGAAGTAGACTTTTATTTAGAACAGCAAAATGAAATTTCACCACTTTATTTTAACTGTTAAATTTGTATATTGTATATTTTTTACTGGTGGTAGGACCTCTTGTTAGTCCGCACGGGTAGGTACCACCACCCTGCCTATTTCTGCAGTGAAGCAGTAATGCGTTTCGGTTTGAAGGGTAGGGCAGCCGTTGTAACTATACTGAGATCTCAGAACTTATATCTCAAGGTGGGTGGCGCATTTACGTTGTAGATGTCCATGGGCTCCAGTAACCACTTAACACCAGGTGGGCTGTGCGCTCATCCACCCACCTAAGCAATAAAAAATTAAAAAAATATATTTCCACGACGTTCTTGTCTATAGCCAAATTTTCACGTGACACTTCTTTACGTGAATCTAAAAATCGAATGAGACCAATTTAAATAATTATGGTACCTATTTTACATGTACAAACGTTCAAACAGGTAAATGTATGTATATTAAATGAAGTCGGGTCTGCAATCAGTTGCGAGGTAAGCAGACCGGGGCGGACATTCGTGCCACAACAATCTCGCCCTTTACTTCGGATTGGTCTTAAATATTTAAAACGCTTAAATGGATTTCATTGTTAATCTAACTTTATTGTATCCAAATTGTAAAATAGCTAATCAGAACTAACGTTGTTCTAATGTCAACAATTATACTTATCCGACAATATTCAGGCTAATGATTTTTCAAATTCAACAGAACAAAAGGAAGGCGGGACGCAGCTCAAACTCATAATAGATTATCCAAACGGAGTTCAAGCACTCTTTAAACCAATGAGGTGAGTAAAATGTTTATTACATTTAAATACAATAGTTAAAATTAGTTTTAGTATGTAACAATCGCACTGGAATCTAATTTTTCACAATATATTGAAATTATCCACGGACATTACATTGCTAATATTCCACCGACTGCTTCTACATGACCTTATTATCCTATTAGTCAGCCTTTCGCATTTTCTCCGAACAGTCTTATCGTTCATCGTGTTTTCAAAACCATTACGTGTTACTTGAGTGTTTTTATCGTACAGAAGTTAGTTGAAGTGTACTTTGTAGTGGTCGTATGTTCTTAAAGGAGTTGTGGAAACAAGTCTGTCACCTTGTTGGCGTGTTGTGCGTCTATTCAGGAAACTTCCAGAACGTTCTTTCACACGATCGGCTTAGCGGCTTCAACAACTACTGCTCGAGTACTTCGCTAAGTTCTGTCGTACCATTGTTAAAGTTGATTGTACTGTATTCGCCCCTACAAAATTCCATATGGAAAATTTCGTTGTAAGATTTTCTAGCTTTATAAGAAATTATTATACTATTATTCATTACTTTAAAAAACTGAAATCGAGTATATTTAACATTTTGCATTATTTGATTTCATATTAAGAACTTGTTCTATGCTTCGACGTTAACTTGCGATTTTTTTCTAGTTTTGGTCTACCTTCATATTGCTTAGTATACTTTTCAAGCGATATAGCAAATACAATAATTCTCAAAAGGAACAAGAAAACAATCAAAACCCCAATGATACCTTTACAACGTGGTGTTAGACCTTCGGGTGAAATTTACATAGCGACAAAGAAGACAGAAGCTCCAAAAATTCACTCGTGGGAATACCTGGAAAGAAAACCTCCCATAGGACCTGTATCGAGTGTCAGACGTCTTAGCACTCCGTTTTTATTTTAAGCGTATTGTATTCGTGTGAAATAAAGGAAGCAATAAACATACACTGGAAACTAGGTGTCATGATGTCTTTGAATAAATATGACGTATTGTATGTAGGTAATAATAAAAAGGAAGATCAGATTGTTTGCTGTAATTTATATGTTATTTGTAGATGAATTAATCATCACATACATACATAGTGATGACAGGAAATTAAATACGTAACGTAATTTTACATTTCTTGCAATGTGGAATAATAGTAACAGTCGCGAAAGATAATTTAATTCGCTAGACTGTATAGCAATCCCTGTGAAATTATGTACCCTAGAGGTTATCCCGACGACACACCAAGGGGCCTCGTGCATCTCACCCGATCCACTAGGGGAACATAAATTGCACGAAAGTCGATAGTCATCCTTCTACAAGTCTAGTTTTATCACTACATGCAAGTTAACGTTATTGGGCCGCCTTCTGTAAATCTTCCGCAAAGAAATTTCGTATTTTCAATCGCAATTCTTTAATGTGACCAATCTATAAATATCTTTGTATGTTCAGTTGGCTTAATGAACAACAATTCAAATCGTCTAGCTTTGTAACCTTTTAAACTGTCTCAGTTCCTTCTACCGTGGACAATAAATCGGTAGATAGTCGATGCACTATTTTACTGGGATTGCCTCTATCTAGCTAAATTCACATTTTAAAGTCACCCCAATCGGTCTTTTGCTGGATCTCCATTAAACTTTCGATCACTCAAATAAATGAACAAGTATTGGTTCGTTTGAGACAATAATTCAATTAAGTCGTTTAACGTTTTTCAAAATGATAAATTCGAAGGGACAACCGGTACCTTATCTCCCGAGACTCGATATTTGATATTTCTCTTTAATGGATTTATAACTCGGTTTCAATTTACGCCATGAATAAGTAGCTGTCAGATACTGGCCGGAATAATGTTTAATTTATAAATTCCTGCATTCTTTGTTTTTGGATGTATTCCATGTTTAAAGTCTTTGAAAAAAAATTCACTATTATTAAAAAATACAAATTGATTTATAAATCGAATACGTTGTTATTACACATTATGAAAATATTATCTAATCGTAATTCGATAAAGTTGAAAGATTTGGGATTAAAATAATAGATCTGATTTGATATTTGTTATTAATAATTAAAGATTTAATCTAGGGTATAACAGCGCACAGAAGCAAGTGGGAATCGTGTCTTATCAATGCATCGTTCATTGAAACGCTTCATAAAAGATATTATCTATATCACGAAAGGTACTTAATATCTGAAGTTCCTTGAAAAAAAATTTGCGCAAGATCATGATGATTAAAAGCTATTCTCCTCTCATACAGTTACATATGGAGGTGTGAAAGGTCATCCGGCTTAAGCGACATTTTTGAAACTTTACAGGAGAGACATTTAAAGATTAAAATTTACAAAAATTGCCTAAAAAAAACTTCTGCAACTATTTGAACTTAATTGAATTTGAATTAAAAACATCAAGCTGTTGAATCTAATACCAACTAAATCGGACCTTTAATTACGAAGATAAATGTCGCCTTTCGCCCCTCGATATGCTTTTAAAATCTCTCAATGAACTTTGTGGTCATCCACATCAAGAAGTAGTCTGTTGACTGTAAGTAAAAAAATGCAACTGCGGCAGTTTGTGGAGAATCGCAACTATGTGTGTTTTGACACGAAAAGTTAGACGAGCGAACTAACCCATGGACACAGCCCACTGAATTTGTCGCAGGATCTTCTCAGTGGGTTGCGATTCCGATCCGGTGGTAGATTCTGCGAAGCACTGCTCTTGAATGGGCCAGTGGTAGCAAATTCAGTCAGTTTGAGCCTGCGAGCTCACCTACCCATCTCGGCGTAGCTGAAATAGCCCCTTAAGCTCACCACCCCCCCACCTCAAATACCATCATGGTTGCGGATGACAAAGGTCTGATTTAGCAAAATTCATAGTTTGGTACCGCGTCCATAATTATCGTCTACAATTTTTTTTTTTAACTAATTACGTTTAAAATTAGTTCCGCAAAAAAAATTAATATAATGTTAAAAATAATGAAGATAAAAAACTAAATCGTTGACGTGGGCTTCTGCGGCTCGCGAAAACCTATGAAAATAATTAACTTAATAGTGGAAGTTTTAAAAAATTCCATTTTTAACTGTACAAAATTTATGGTTTTGTTAGCTGTACTTTGGAACCATTCCCGACCTTGAAATGGTTTCAAGTAATTCAAAGAAAACGCAAACACAAAAAAACCATTCATTTACTTGAAGTAAGCCGAAGTGCTTGTCATTTCAGTAGGATTATTTTCCGTAGGCGCGTTTCATTCAATTATCTCTCGAACAAAATATTTTAGCGTTACGATGTTGATCCTACCTACCGCTACTTTTATTCGTTTCGAAAACGGTACCTACCGTAAAGGATGAAGAACGGCTGTGTTAGTTGAAGACGTTCAATAAATGAATTTAAAGATGTGCACATTCATCAAGAATAATGGGGTTATAACTACTGTTAGTGTTTTTAGAAGAGAATACGCATTAAATAATAGTAAATTTTTTGAAGCCCTAATCACAATTGAGGCCGTCAGCGCCAAAAGTGGCCTAGCCCACAATTTTTCATATTCGTGCTTATATATTGCAATTTATTTAAAACATAATAAATTTTGATGCAAAACAGGCCTATCCCTAGTTTCACCCGTAGATAACAGATGTCTTTGTAAATGTTTTTCCTACGAAGCAGTGTAAAAGTAAATTCCAACCTCATTATCTCCATACTAACTATGATAAGCTTAGGCCACTTTTGCGCTGACTGCCTCAATTATTCTCAATTGTAATCTATATATATAAAAATGAATTGCTGTTCTTTAGTCTCGCTAAAACTCGAGAACGGCTGGACCGATTTGGCTAATTTTGATCTTGAATTATCTGTGGAAGTCCAGAGAAGGTTTAAAAGGTAGATAAATATGAAAATGCCCGGAATTAAATCAAAATACCAATTCCCTTTGACGTGTTCCCCGTCGGACGGATCCTTTTGTTTATTTAAAGTTTATTTTAAACAAAAGTTTAGGTCTTTTATTTATCGATTGAGGCAATACGAAGTCTGCCGGGTCAGCTAGTTTTGAACAAACTTAAATCAGATTTTACGAATCTCACGATTTTTTACGATCTCATCTCACAGTGGTAATTTTAATTACACAATGTCACCGTTTTATTTACCTGTTCTTGTTTAATAATAGATTCGCCCGTGATGTCCAGACGTTGCCGAACCACTTCTATTTCTCGGATTACGAACGGCACAATGCTGAAATAGCAGCTTTTCATCTCGACAGGTGAGAATATGAACTGAATTTGAATTTAAATTAAATTAATAATATAGTCAAGGAGAATTTGTTTCATATTTGTAATTTAAAGATGTAGGTAGTGACTGTGGTATTAAATATTAAATAATAGATGCACGTTTTGTTATTTAAAAATCAGACCAGGCCAGACCAGCACATGTCACACTTGATGTTGAGGGGAAAGTAATAGTTGCTAATGGAGATCAGAAGTGCAATAGGCTCAACAAAGCCACTGCCCAACGCACTGATTAGTAATGATAGTCAGTTAAAGTTAAAAGATAAGTTGAAAATCACTTAATAGACAAAGAGTTCGTGGACATACAATCACAAAAAGGTCATCAGATAATAAAATGTGAGTCAAGCTTCCACAAAAACTGCAACAATCAACTATAAATAAAACTTGTCATGTCAATAATTATTAGTATGTCCTTAGAGCCCTTTTGGATGTAGTTACTCTTACAATCCAAGTAATCATAATCATTGAAATTACCACATTACAATTTGGTAACAGTTAACGAACTAAAGTACTCTCTAGGATACTCGGCTTCCGGCGGGCAATGCCGGTTGTGGGCCGCGTTCTCAACATGACCACTGAGATCTATGACGTCACCGAAGGGGACATACTCAAGACATTTTTCGTGTCCCCTGCGAACAACTTCTGCTTCCACGGCAAGTGCTCGTACTACTGTGACACGGGACACGCAATATGCGGCAACCCTGATATGTTGGAGGGAAGCTTCGCCGCTTTTTTGCCCTCTTCTGATGTTGCTGAGAGGAAGGTGAGTTTTCGTTCTTACGTGTTCGTTTATTGCATTACTAGCGACCCACCCTCGCTTCACTTCGGAGACTGTAATTTATTATTTATTTCTCCACTATTCAACCGATGTTATTATACATATAAACATTCCTCTTCAATCTCTCTATCTATTAAAAAAACTGCATCAAAATCCGTTGCGTAGTTTTAAAGATTTAAGCATACATAGGGACAGATATAGGGACAGAGAAAGCGACTTTGTTTTATACTATGTAGTGATAATCTGAAAATACGACTTTCCGACCCTGCTCTTTCGTACTAATGCCTTATAAGTTGCGCTTCCATTAATTATTCTTAGCCTATCGTTGTAACATGTTTAATGGTCATAAGCTTAAAAAAAACCGCAAGAGTTTCTTCAACCGAATTATCATTGTAAATCTGCGTTCTCCGCCCAACATTCTATCTCTGTGATGTATTGTAGTAATTGAAGAATTGTATACTCGAGCAGCAAACAAAATATGAAAACTTTCCGAGTACTATTGAAAACCACGTCCAACCCAATAGTACTCTCCCACTATGCAGATCGGTAATCACAAATGCGTAGACAAACAATAAATCTATTAATTATGCTATTAAATATAATGAAAATACCAATGTATGGATACGTTTAGAGGCAAATTGAAATGTTTTAAAAAATACAGGTTTGGCGTCATCCATGGAGGCGTTCATATCATAAGCGCAGGAAAGCGCAATGGGAGCTGCAGTCCGATTACTGTGATACGGTAAGTTATTTTTCCCTACCTATTCGCTGGGAGCCTAAGAGGCTATTTCAGCTACGCCCGGACGGGTGGGTTAGCTCACGGGCTCAAAGGCTCAAACTGAGAGAATTTGCTAACACTAACACTGGCAAGAGCAGTGCTTCAATTCGGTATTGAACAAAAAAAAGGGGAAAGTCTGAGCACTTGTTGAATAGTTAAACTATTTATTATTAGTAAATAAAGTTCGAAATTGAACTTAAGCAATTTTCATATTGTATCTCATTTTACACGTTATTTTAGAGTTATAGATTAAGACGTAAAGGCGCTGGTCTTTGATATCGTTAACTATATATTAATACGTGAATCAAAAATGTTGTACACTTTTTTACGAAAATTGCGCGGACGGAGGAATATGAAATTTCCCACATTTATAGAGAATATAGGGAAGGAGTGCAGAATGTAATTTTTTTTAAATATGCATAAGAAAGAGAATTAATTTAAAAAAAAACATTACACACACTACCGTGTATTTGACACACTACACTACCACATCGTTAGGTATATACTCTTTGTTTATTGTCAAACCTCTGTTATTGTTTAAAAAAGTCTGTGGTCAAATTGAGATATTGTTTGTCTTTAATATTATTTGTCTATAGTGTAGTCTTGGCGAAATCTGTGATTATAGAAGTATAATACTCGTATAAGTATAATATCTTTGACAATAGAACTGAGGGAGTTCATTATAGAGTCCCTTCTTTATTTCGCCGTAATGTCGTGTTTTATGTAATTAACACCACAGTTGAAACAATAGAAATTTTATTGTTGTAGCAGTATAAATAATTCTAAGATATTATATTATATTAGTTATTAAACACATTATAAATTAATTTTTACGTTTTAAATTTTCGGCGGTAAAAAGGTCCCGTGACACAGACTATATTCTTTTTCCCCCTCTCGTGCGTTCCGGCTTACGCATCATATAAAGAAAGGTGCGTTCTTAAACGCCACAGAACCATAATAATGTTCAAGCTTATAATATCAATTAACTGTAATCAAATTTCGACTACTGGGGCACCACTAGTCTAAGTAAATGGCCGTTGATTTTCTTTAGTATCCAGACTGATGGCATGAAATATAATATATAATGCGAAACCTAATTTAGTGATGTGGTTGTTTAGGTACGGACTACTCCGCCCTACGACTCTGGACGCCGACTACTCGATCTTATGGACATGTCTATATTTGATTTCCTTACTGGGAATATGGACCGACATCACTACGAAACATTCAAGTAAGATTTCATTCATGAAATACAATACAATACAATTAATTACTAAGAATCATTGAATATAATATTCTTTTAATTTTCGTTTATTTGATCCGAGTGAATTTAAAATTTAAATGCGGCATGTTCATATTGTTTATCAGTTTTACTTTTCTTTACATTTGAGCAAATTTTTCAAATTCATCTTAGAGCGGTTTTTTTTCTTTTTTTTTCTAATATAAATATTTATGGCGTACAGAATGTTCGGGAACGAGACGTTTACGCTGCACTTAGATCAAGGCAGGGCGTTTGGGAAGGCGTTCCACGATGAACTCAGTATTCTAGCACCTCTACTGCAGTGCTGCGTCGTCAGGCACACCACGCTCGCCACTTTATTAAAGTTCGTATTCTATATTTGAATCAACGTACTCAAATTACTGGTGGTAGGACCTCTTGTGAGTCCGCGCGGGAGGGTACCACCGCCCTGCCTATTTCTGCCGTGATGCAGTAATGCGTTTCGGTTTGAAGAGTGGGGCAGCCGTTGTAACTATACCGAGATCTTAGAACTTATATCTCAAGGTAGGTGGCGCATTTACGTTGTAGATGTCCATGGGCTCCAGTAACCACTTAACACCAGGTGGGCTGTGAGCTTTATAACATACTGTAACTGTAACATACTTACTGTATTAATTTTTTTTCTTGAAAAATAATTTGGAGGCAACTGGCTCAAACGTAGCCACACCATGAACAATATTTTTACAGTTTGGTGTAAATTAACTGTCAAATCTAATGTAATCGCGAACAGTGTTTACGTCACGACATAAAATATGAAACACCACAGAACTATTAATAGTAACAGTTGCAGTTGTTATCACAAGGTCTTCATCACAGATATCGTAAATATTTAACATATCGAAAAAAAAATTTTTAATACAAAATTAAAATTTGAGGCTTCTTAGGATTTTTCCAATTTGCCGTGTTTAGCTTCCAAATGTATATATTAACATGGAAATACTTATTAGGTAAATTGTCTTTGATTCTAAAAAGTTAAATGAGTATAATAATTACTTTTACGGGTTTTTTTTGTCATATATTATTTCCGACGATTCCAATATTTTTGACAGTTTTCATCGTCACGGACGACACGACTAATACAAGTGATGACCAAATTAAAATTTCAGATTCGTCAATGGCGTACCTCTATCAGGCATTCTACGCGAATCTATGAAGATAGATCCCGTGTCGCCTATACTCTGGGAGCCACACCTCCAAGCCTTAGACAGAAGGGTTGTAATAGTTCTCGACGCGATCCGTAAGTGCGTCGAGAAGGCCAACAATCCGCTCCAAAACGAAATAAACGACTTCGTATGACCGCTAGAACTGTATGCTTAGTGCGAGTTTCTTAACGTTCTCGACAGCGTAAAAGTTAAGCCAATTTAGTATGCAGTTGGAACAGCGCCCCTAGCGGCAAACGTACGCAAACGTTCCCACTCCATACAAATATCAGCTAACTTTTACGCTGTCGAGAACGTTAAAAAACTCGCACTAAGCACACTGTTGTGTAGTCGAAGTGAAACTTACGCTTATGTGATACGGCAAGGGGCGTTGCAATCAGTGAAAACGATTGGCTAGTCTAACTCTCTTATATGTGACTTAAAGTGACTTAAAAGAAATCTAAGACTAATCTAAAAAGAAAAACTACAAAGTGTCTTTGGTCCCGCTCATAGACTTAAGGTTTCGTGCCAAAGATTGTCCAAATGTAAATGTGTTATACCAGAATAATTAAGAGCCATTCCATTTATGAATGCCTGTTAGCCATTTAGTAGCCAAATTGTACGGATGAAACATTTTATAAGGAGAAATAGAAAAATAAACAGGTTTTGTTAAATTGTTTAATATAAAAACGGCATCTTGTATTTTTGTAATATATGTTAGTGTGTTAGTGTTTATGTGTTTTCTGAATATTTTGAAAGTTAAACGAGTTCTTTAAATATAAGGGACGATAATGATAATCGTTCAATCATGCTGTACATACTTAATGCAATTTTTTTTAGTTTTAAGTTCAGATTAATTCATCTTAAACATATATATATATATATATATATACTTATATATAATTGCTTGTACAATGTTACCATAGCTTTTCAGCTCAAGAAAGCACATATCTTTATTAAGCAGTTACTTGCTGTATGTGATAATGTTTTCAGACGCGATGTCTGAACGTAATTTTGTAAGTGAATATAATCTCTGAGGCTAGCTAGCGTATATCAATGCAAATTACATCAAGCATAATCGTTATGTAGTTCCATAAATAATCAAAGGATATTTTTAGTAAACTAAAAAAGTTTTTATAGATGTACAAATTCATCTAAAAGTAATTTCGGCTTATCCCTGGATGATAAACAATTTCATAAAATCAAGATTAAGAAGAAGAAAAAAAACACTTTATTATTTCGCTTTGCTATTAATTTGATTAGTTTTCGGATGATTTGATTCTGTTTAGTGTTTTTCAACTATATTTATTGTAGTTTTAGTTATTAAATATAACTATTAAATAAAATGTAGAGCCTTAAAATTATTATGAATTTGGAGTACGGTGTCCTGATGTATTAAATGTTCTGTATTATTTTTAGGAATAATGTTTGGAGAATTTATTAAATTAATTTTGCCAGCCCTATGATTATTACGAGGTTAATTTTTCGAACAGTTGAGAATATTGTACGTAATACGCGCGGGAGTACACTTTCTCGTATTCAAGAGACTTGTATGAATCCTTGTAAAAATGCCTCCATAAATGATTTGTACAGGATTTAATACGTTCATGTCGGTTGTAAGGGGCTTTTGAATGCTTAAGACAAGTTCCATTTATGGGAAATTTTTTTACAACTTTTATTGACTTCGAAGGTAAACAAGCATTCGGATTACCTCAAGGTGGACGGCCACGGATGATCATGAACTTCAGCATAGCCAAGCGTATAATAAAATCCTATGAATAGTTAAGACTCCTTTGCAGAAGGGAATATCATAGCATAGCATAGCACAGTGTAGCTTTATTAGAGATCAGCCGATTTGAGTGGCGTGTTCTTATTTGAAAGGTTCACTAAGTATGAACTCGCTATATTTATTCTTAAATCGCGATTTTGTTGGGCCCTGCGTATTACTGATCTCCGCGAACGGCAGTAGATTTTTATCATTTCGATTGCATGATCGTTTGTCTGTTGGACTCATAAAAAAAAAAAACATTCTGTCGTTGTCAAACCAAAATCTGCTATGTGCACTTTTTGAGATTTTTACTTTTTGACCTTTTCGTATAGTTCACAGCCCTATCCACCGTATAAAAAAAAACTGTTATGTGTCTATAGCTTTAATATTTATCCATAGCTTTCATTTGATATAGGTCTTAAAAATTCACCTTCATATAAAATTTCATACGAAAATGTTTTTACTCGTTAATTCAAAATAGCGTTATTGCACATAGCAGATTTTGATTTGACACCGACGATTCGCTGTTTATTTCAATTTAAAATATTGTCATTTAAATTGTCAACTGTCCCTCTTACTTGTGTTGAGTGTGAAAAAGACGGGAAGCGTTAAACTAATTTTGTATTATCTATAGCATAATTTTGTATAGACTATAGACAGTAGATGTCTTTATAAGGCTGCGCAATGAAAAAAAAAAACTGTGGGAAAAAGAGTCGACTTGCCAAAGACGTACCTAAAATGTTAAAGTGTAAGAATGAAATTTTTGATTATGTTATATATTGTGTATCGCGATGATTGTTTGTGTGTTTCTGTTGACTGTTTGTAAATTAAAAAGTTAAATGATTATTAAATGGTGTTTGTGTTTTATTGAAGTTTTCAAATGAAAAGTGATATGCGTTTATTAAACTATTCATAAATACTCAACGATGAATAAAAAATTCAGAGCACGTAAGAAAATAGAGTAAAACTTTTGGGTCAACTTCATTCTTGAACATCGCACGGAGACGCCTCGCGCTTCTGCAAATTCGAACCCACGACAATTTATATTTTTTTGTGTGCCACATTTGCGCATTCAAAAAAAAAAAACAAAAATAATAGAGATAAAAATCATCAAATTTTGTAGGTACTATTATGTTAGAAATCAATTTTTTAGAAAACATTGCCTTCAGTCGTAGGAGATATTCATTTGCATATTTATATGTCAAGAAGTCACCAAGTGTGTGCTAATTATAGAAAGATTTGACGAAGTAACATTAAATGAAGTGACATTAAATATAAAGTAACGTAAAACATTTAGGGTCTTTTTTGTATGGACGCCGTTGTGGATTCTGCCTACTTAAGAGTTAAGACTGATGGAAGTTGGTGGCGAATAAAACTCAAAAAATAATTACCTAAATGTCGAAGTTAAAAGTGTAACTATCCACTACGGACATATTTCGGTAAACACGTGACTGTGTTGTTTTCAGAAATAATAAAAGACGGTATCATACGTGACCACCAGCTGATAATGTAAGTGTATATGAAACAAATATAATTTCCCATGTTTTTTTTTGTTTTTATTTTTTATTTATTGCTTAGATGAGTGGACGAGCTCACAGCCCACCTGGTGTTAAGTGGTTACTGGAGCCCATAGACATCCACAACGTAAATGCGCCACCCATCTTGAGAATAAGTTCTAAGGTCTCAAGTATAGTTACAACGGCTGCCCCACCCTTCAAACCGAAACGCATTACTGCTTCACGGCAGAAATAGGCAGGGCGGTGGTACCCACCCGCACGGACTCACAAGAGGTCCTACCACCAGTAATTACGCAAATTATAATTTTGCGGGTTTCATTTCATTTCAGTTTCCTTCAATCATCAATAAAATTGCATTACCACTAGTAGAACAGTACGAATCGCATAACACAATGAACCAAATTATAAGATGTAAAATAAAGGATGACCCGGGGTCGGCGTTCCGGCGCACAGTGGGTCGATTCTATGATTTTAGTGACTTAGGGACCAACTTTGTTTTTTTATAATTTTTTTTATGTAGATTGATAGAGCTCGTTAATCCCAATAATAATTGTTTTGGGCAAAAATTACAAAAACTTTATAGTTTGGTCAGAAAAATGTGTTTTGTGATTTTTTTGTATGGAGCGGGTCACATTAAATTAAATTCCTGCTAAGTACCGCGAGGTCCCGCTTTGAAACTTTATTTTCCTTATACTTTGTCTAGTCTACTATCATTTGATGCTATGAACATGTGCATAAAGTTGCAACTCTGCCAAATAAATGGATCGAAAAAAATTAATAAATACATAGAATAAAAACCTTTTTTTTTTTCGTAAGTGCTTTTAAGTTAAATTTGATATGGATTAGTAAGTAAAAGCACGTAATGATACCCATAATTACATAATACCTAACAACAATACATTTAGTAGGTCTCTAATTATGCAATCTCTCTAAATATTATATATTTTGTTTCACCTTTCGATCTTTGGGTCAGAAGACGAAAGAAGATTGTGTAAAATATCCTCATTAGTNCATTTATTTGGCAGAGTTGCAACTTTATGCACATGTTCATAGCATCAAATGATAGTAGACTAGACAAGGTATAAGGAAAATAAAGTTTCAAAGCGGGACCTCGCGGTACTTAGCAGGAATTTAATTTAATGTGACCCGCTCCATACAAAAAAATCACAAAACACATTTTTCTGACCAAACTATAAAGTTTTTGTAATTTTTGCCCAAAACAATTATTATTGAGATTAACGAGCTCTATCTATCTACATAAAAAAAATTATAAAAAAACAAAGTTGGTCCCTAAGTCACTAAAATCACAGTATCGACCCACTGTGCGGCGGCGACGTCACATAAATGTCGCATAAAACCTAAACAAAACAAGATACGTCCGTCCCCCTATAAAAACTGGAATATGAATAGTAGGGATATTTCATATAACATTTTATGGGCTTTCGGTAGTTTTGTCATGTATTAAATCGCTGCCGGATATCGTTACTCATCTTTAAATTACAACAAATTTTTAAGCTATTGCATAGCTTTTATCGCGGGCTTTGAGCGCGGCGACCGAATCATGAAATTCCGTAACGGAAAAAACCTAACACCAATCACTCCGCCTACCATGTAGCTCGCGTTCAACACATTCACACGTTGCGCTTGTGTAGTGTTTGTGAATAAGCACGTGGCGTGACGTCACACTGCATGCGCATCATGAAAAGTCTGTCCATCTCTCTCTCTCGCGCGGTCTAGCTTATGAGTGTGAAGGGGACAGTTAAGGTTTTGCTTTTATTAATGTTTAATATAGCGTGGTCTTGTTTTATTATCGTTTTAATATTAAATTATCACTGTCTAATTATAATTGCATAAGTTGATAAAAAATGCTATGTAATAACTTTACCGCGGCAGTTCCCGAGTGCCACACGTTTGTTTTAATTGATTCGCTGGACTGCTTGTGAACAATAACAATATTTATCTAAGGGGTGCGTGAGTCATTTTTTATGGAAATTTCAATAGTCATTTGCGGTAACAATGAGAGTTATACACGTTATGTTTCATGTCGTATGACGTCATGACTCCACACGAAATGAACTGGTTTTACGATTGATTTTTGCATTTTTTTATTGCTTATATGGGTGAGCGACTTGGTCTTAACCGGTCACTGAAGCTCATGGACATCAACAATGTAAATGATGTTACCCACCTTGA